GAAAATGCAGGAGCTGTCTTTATGGCTTATTATAATGAATAGGAATGTGAAGATAAGGGATACAGACTTAATGAAAAAAGTACAGTTTTTCAGGCTGAATTATCAGCCTTTAAAAAAAGCTTTAGAATGGGCTGATATATGGATAAATGAAAATAATTTGGCAAATTGTTTTGTTTCAATCTTCAAAGACTCTCAAAGTGTGTTGAAAGCAATGAATTCTAGAAAATGTCTTTTTAAAAAAGTAATTGAAGTAAGAAATAAATCTGTAGAATTTATGGAAAAGCATAATTTGAAAATTAATTGGGTTAAAGGTCACTCAGAAATGCTAGGAAATGCACACAACACTGCGAAGGAAGCAAACTAAGAACGATAATATAGATATTTTTTCCACCATCTCAATAGAATACATAAAAACATTATTGCAAAAAGAAATAATGAAAAAATGGCAAGACCGATGGGATAATGATAACACTGGAAGAAAATTATTTTGGATTTTTTCTAAAGTTATGACAACAAGGCTGTCTAGTGACAAAATAATAAATCAAGCACTGACAAGTCATGGACGAAGTCCAGAATATTTAAAGAGATTTCACACAAAGAAAATAAAAAATGAAATGAAGTTTAATAAGAAAAATGTAAGTGAGGTTGTGAAGCACAAAATGCAGACTATACATTATTTGCGAGAATGCATACAGACAGTCTCTATTAGAAAAGAAAATTTTAAAAATACCTCAAAAGCAAACTTCAAGTATTTATATATTAAAGTATAATAGCATTTATCCAGGTTAGGAATTATAAATATTGTAAATAATCTAATTGGATATGAATATTTTGAAGTAGTTTGATTATGTAGTAAATTTCTAAAATTGCAACAAAGTTGAATTGTATATTTACACTAATTTACTCAGAAAAATTATGTAATAACCAATAATGGGTTTCAAAAGTGTGAATTTATGTTAAAAATTTTGTAAAATTGATTAATTTAAATGAACCAGTGATTTAATGTTCTAGAAAGATGGAAAATCTCGATTCAGAAAATTGTTAAACCAACATTTTTAATTGCATCATATTTTAATCTAGCTATTATGTTGAATCTATTCAGAATAAAGGTCGAGGTGACCCTGCTGGCAAGGCCAGATAATCTTCTCTAGGAGGACAAGTTTGGAGCCAGCTGCCCATTTTTTTTAAAAATTTGGTTAATTAGTTTATTTGGTTCTTTGATTGTTTTACCGGTTTGACAATACTGGCAGTACAGTTTATATGTTGAGTTTAGGTTTGCCATTTTTTGAAAACCCCTCATTTACATAAAATCAACTGGCATACCTAGCCATTAAATATTGATTATGACAATTTTTCACATGTTACCATTAGTTTACATAGTCATGAATATCAGTTCTTACATGTCACAAACCTTTAACCCTTTGCGGCATGGTGGGTCAATATATGTCCCACCTAATTAATATTTATTTTCTCAGTTAGCAGTTTCCCGTTAGATATTTTCTAATATTTTAAAAATAATCTATTTTAGTTATTATTTTTCTCAGTAGATGTTACTACTATACCACAGCTTAAGTTTATAAGCAGAAAATATTCAAAATAGGATCACAAGAGTGATATCCATGTATCTCGCATTTTTCAATATTTTAAAATTTTTGGTATACAATTTATGATATGTATGATTCTTTTTAATATTCAAAGGTATTTTATTTTCAAAAATCTTAATTGGTTTCAATATTTTATAACATTAATTTTGCAGTTGAAATAAGTGGGTTAAAATTTGTCCCACCACACACTTGAATTTTCGCTCAATAGATGGCAGCACTCACGATTATTTTTTCTTTTTTCCATCTACTTTTTTCGTGATTGCGCGCGTTTTTACATCCGTTGTATGCTCTGATGTGCTAAAATGTCTAGAAAAAAATTAAAAACTCAGGAAACTTTGGATTTTTTTGCTGAACTGCCATCTGATTGCGACTCATATGCTTCAGATGTAAGTTCTGATTCAGATGAAATTGAAATCCAGGAGAGAATAACTGAGGTTGAATTTATTGCTGAAGAAGAAAGGGAAGTAGTTATAATTTGTTTCGCTTTTTAAAGACACAGACCCATCTATGCATGTGGCTGCCATCTATGTGGCACTCTAAATATGAATCGGAAGTATCTACTCAAAAATTTAAAAGACAAATGTATGTCAAGAGAATATATAGACTTTTCAGTTAGTGATGATTCAATTTATTGCATAAAATGGAAGGATAAAAGATCTGTTTCTATCCTGTCTTACTTGGAAAAGGAAACTGAAATGAAAGAAATTAATAGAAAAGAACGAGATGGAAAGACAAAAAAAGTACTGTGCCCAAACAGCATTATTTCATATAATAAGAATATGGGATATGTCGACTGATTGATCAACTGAAAATACTATATGAAATAGATCGCAAAAGCAAGAAATGAAGGCACATGATTTTCTTCTTCTTTTTTTTTTACTTTTTAGATGCGAGTATAGTAAAGTTTGTTCATGATGTTCCGATCAGGATGTAAAAACAATGAAAGATTTTCTTCTCTCATTTATAGAAGGTCTAATGGCACTTGCAGGCAAGAAAGAGCTGAAAAGAAAACTGAAATCCCCAGTTCAAATAAAAACTAAAAACCCGTTCGTACAACCAGAAAAGAGACTAAAAAATGTAATTCACATGCCAAAGAGAACGAGCAGGAGAACATGTGCATATTGCAGCACATCGAAAGAAGAACGACGAACATTTTGGATGTGTGAAACATGTGAAGTGCTTCCATGCTTACAAAAGAATGAAACAACATGTTTTTTAAAGTTTCATGAAAAATGACTTTTTTTTCAATTTTAATCATATATAAATGTTTTTGAATCAAGTGCCAATTTTAATATTTTATTTAGTATCAAATCAAATTTTAATCTTAAAATAATATTCAAGAAAATATTTTCTTTTGTTCCTAAAATTTAAAAATATTAAATATATGTATGCAAAAAGTGCATATGCAAAATTTTACAAGTCATGCATATATGCAATAAGTACAAAATGCATTTTAGTGTGTTTATTATGAATATTTTAGAATGCACGCTTTATTTTGTTTATTCATTCCATATATGATTTTTTTTTCCTGCTATACACCAATATGCTATAAGACATGTGCTAGTGGCATGGTGGGACAAACGGTATCCCACCTTGCCCCGTAAAAAATAAAAGCGCAGAATTTTTTTCAAGCCTTAAAGGCACTTAAGTAAGTCCATCTGACTTATTCTAAGGCATTTTTTTAAAGATTAAAATATATTTTAAATATGCGTGTTGCAAAGGGTTAAAAGGGAAATTTAAAACCTATTAAATTAGGGATAACATAGCTGCCAAACTTGAAATAGAAAAAGTCTGAAACTTCCAGGATATTTTCAATAGATATCCTAAATTTAATGTTCTTTACTAAATTTGATTTTGCAATTTTCTTACACTTTTATACTGGGAAAATCCTGAGTGAAAAGAAAAGATTTATCGATCAATGCCCTTTTAAATATGTAGATTAATTTAGTAATGTACATTTTATTGATGTAAAACAAAGCTAAATGCAGATATTAATGGATTAAATATTGGGTGAATCTTCATAAAAAGTTTTATAAATGTCTATAATAGATTAAGACAATTCCAAACAAATGAAGTTTAATAAGAAAAATTATGCTAGAAATCACTAGGAACTGACACAAGTTAAGTTTAATAAATGCACTGACTTTCTCTTATTGCTGGGAGACATTTCCCTTAGCCCTCTGAGTGGTATGGTATTTTGAATCAGCCATTAAAACCTGTATTTAAACATCATTTATTAGCTAAATTTGTGTAATTACTCTTTAGTCTTTATTTTCAAAAACTTACATTCTAAGATGACATTTACATTATTAAAGAAAATATGAAAGAAAAATATCTTAAATTATAAACTAATATGTGCAGAGTGACAAAAAAATATTATGACCGGATAAAGCTAGTCTTGCTGCTCAGAAAGTTAAAGCTAAAAAAATAAAAACCAATTTATCAGGATGCGATGTAAAGCTACAAGTCTCCTTGTAAAACCAAAAGACCTGGCAGCTATGAGATGATTCTTTTAGCATCAATACACTAAAACATATACTACACTTCCCCATATGTTTTCACACAGGTATGTGAATTGAAAGAAATTTTTAAAACTTACCTTAAAATTATCCTAGATTATGTTTTAATCTCGTCCAGAAGCTTGAAACAAAAGTAAATTTATCTTAGCTTAAATAATTAGTAATATATTAATTTTCTTGTTTTGCATTGAAGATGAAAGTAGAACCAACAAATGAATGCATTAAGTTTATAAACAATGCACATTTTCCCAGAATAAGTGAAAGATAATAAAATGAAAGAAACTATTAGTATTTATTTCATGAATTACAAGTAAAATATTTCACAATGTTTATTTGCATACCTAAAAATGTTTCTATCCATATCAAATAGCATATTTTTACACACAATCAACAAGCTATTCAGTTAATACATTTATAACAAAATGGATAAATAATTGGTATTGGAAAAACTATTTTTAGAAAGATTTCAAATTTAGAAAACACATTTCTATAAAGTTCTATAAAGCTTTTTTATTATTTATTTATTTATTTATTTATTTTTTTTAAGTGTTACCTAATTTTCAATGCAAGGCTAAGAGAATTTACACATTAAATTCTCAGCAGTAACTCATGTTGATATCCTCTGATGTATTATTTAACTTTAAATTGAGTTAACTGTGCATACAAATTGATATATTTCAAGATTATTATACATTTTAAATATATGTTCAGATTTCTCACAAAAATTGTTGGTGATCTGCATAAAAAAATTCCTATGCAGTGAAGATGCTTCTTTTGTTGTGAGAAGTACACAAAGAAATTTTTATGATTCAGATATATTAGAAAACATTAGGAAAAAAAAAAAAAAAAATTACGGGTACAATACAATGCAACTCACATCTTTATATCCAAATACTATGTCCCCATTCTGCTTCAAAACAACTTGGAAAGTAAATGCACCATCTAAATAGGAAATGTTAAGTTACTAATTTTCCTCCCATACATACAGTTTTTTGCATAAAAGGTAATTAAGAAAGTCAAATGTAAAGAGAAAATAACACAAAAAATACATTCACTAAGCACCAATAATTTTTTACTACACCGCTTAATTTCAACGTGCAAATAAATATATTTTCTCATTTTAAAACAAAAGTATCACATAAAAGTAATATAGAAAGAAAATTATAAATTATTTAACAAAATAAATAAGAATTCTTAAATTTAAATTCAGAATTCATTATTATTTGAAATAACATCAGTACATTTTACAATTTAAAAAGAATCAGAACTGAGATAATAGATACAGTACAAAGTCCATAATCCGGACTTGTCGGGACTTTGGCGATTCCGGATTAGGGGTTTTTCCAGGTTATAGATCATCAATTTAAATCTGGTAAGATGGCATGCAGAAATTATACAATTAAAAATATGAAACCGTAATTTATGAATAATCTAAGGGATCAATTATTTAATCTAAAGGGTATCAAAATTTACAAAAAAAAAAAAAAAAAAAAAAAAAAAAAAAACGCTTAATATTTATTTGTTTAGTTCATTAAACATTTTTTTCAGTGTAAGTTGTTTAAGATGCTTCCACAAAAAATTCAAAAAGTTCCTTTTTCTTTTTGCTTATGTCATATACAGTTGACTTTCCAATGGCATTCTCCTCGCATAATTTTGAGATGGATATGCCTTTATCCATTTTTTGTAGCTGGAAATTCTTTTTGACATAATCAAAAGTTAAAGCTTAATTTTTATAAAATTGCTCTAACAGTCTGCAAAAAATAATAAGCTGGATCCAATTAGAAGATTAAGGAACAGTGCAATTTGCAACATTAACTGAAATACCTTAGAATCAGTAAAAATAATTTTAGCCTAGCTTATATTGTCTGTTATACATTTAACACGCATGCGTAAACACAATACGCGCATGCGTAAAGCATACAAAAAAAAAAAAAAAAAAAAAAAAAAAAGTTTGTGGCTTTGAGGTCCGGATTATAGATCATTCCGGATAATGGACGTCCGGAATAATGTAATATAATTCATTATAATGTCAATTATAATTCACTATAAATGACATTATAATGTATGTATAATGTAATTTCTTTTGTCTTTGAAATAATAAAAATAAAAGAAGGAAAACAAGCAGCCAAAAATATTATATGAGGAAAATGTATAAATACAACTTTTACTTTGCATAGCAAATGGTACTTTCTAGAATTATGCTGTTTCAAATACACCAGTTCCTGCTTTAAAAATTCAGCGTCTCTAGTAAAATTTCAACTTGAACATTTCAAAAATTTCATTTTCTTATTTATTATTGCGAATGAAAAAACTACACGTTATAAAATATAAATTAAAACCACTCAATAAAATAGCCATAGTTTCCATTTGTATTTCAAAATAAAAATGAGGAACTTAGAATTATGCTGGATTAAAAAAAAAAAAAGGGTTTAGTTAATAGTTATTTATTATAATGTGCAACATCACAGCATAATGTTATGAATTTTGTACATAGATAGATAATTTTAGTGAAATTATTATATTTTTCTATATTATGGAATATGAAAAATCGAAAGAGATTATGTTCTGCTGGAAAAATAAGAATACAAAGGCAAGTCTATTTAACATAAAGTAAATTGCTATCTTAGTTAATTGGCGAGATATAACCAAGATGGCGATGCGTTTAGCAACTAATTTTTGTTACCAAATTTGGTGAGAAAATGCCAAAATTGGCGACCATCTAGTGACATTTTGTTCCACTCCTTGTATAACTGTAATAGGTATTGTAAATGAATAATTGATACTTTATGTAGCTGTAACCATACCCAACCCAGAAATTTCTCAGTGGGTGGGAGAAAACTATATAAGACTGGATACAGCATCAGTTTCTGAGTTGTTAGTTGAAAGTGACTTAGGTAATATTGCCAAGCTGACAACGGTTTTGGCAACTTATTTTTGTCACCAAATTTAGCGAGAAATCGCTTAAAATCACCAAATTTGGCAATATTTGGGTTCAATCTGTGTATCACCATAATATGTATTGAAATTAAATAAAAGTAATTGACCACTATGTCAGATGTAACCATAATTTCACACCCATATTGCTTTCTAGTAATTTGGAGAAGAAAAAAAATACTAGAAATATCTCAACGGATGGTTGAAAACTATAAAAGGCTGGAGAGAGAGCATCCACAGTCAGTCATTTAGTTAGTTGTTGCTGCTATTGTGAATTGTCACTTCCTCATGAACTGAGATATCAGGGTTAGCTTTCTCTTTAGACACTCTTTGCACTGCACTGCGTTAAGCGTTCTTAGCAGTTTGAAGAGTAATGACAAATTGTACTCTGTGATAAAATGCATGAGTATTTCTTTGGCATGTTCCAGAACTCTGAAGAGTTTCTTTTGACAAAATAAATTTTATCAACATATCATCAGACATGTGTGCATTCAATCTACTACAAACCTGCATTCATGCAACAATACAGATTTTTTATCTCAATTTATTTTTAAAGGTAACTTTACTTCTTCAGATAATGGTAACAGAACAGTTACATTTGTAAAATGAAGAATGAAGAACAACTCATTAATAAGTTGAGAGGAAAGCATAGGGTTGTTAAAATTACAACAGCTCTAACTCTTCATTTAATTTCTTTTTTAAGAAAATAAATTTTTGTTTATTGTACCCCATTTACAATGCACATTCTATAAAGTATTCTATAAAGGGAACTTTTTATTATCTCTGAGGAGTGATCTGTAATTTTTAAAATTTCCCCGACTTTCTGGAAAAAGTTTCAAAATTTCCTTGATCTTCCTTAAATGTTTATACTTTCCCTGATTTTTTAGGATTTTCCAGGTGAGTAGGAAACTCAAAATTTATTTCTTATTTTGCAAAGAAATTTACCTCAATAAATGATTGCAAATAAATTAAATGGTTAAACTGAATACTTGGAAGAAATCAGAAATGTCACAAAATTTAGAAGCATTAAAGAAATAGATAATGCACAATATTCCCATTATTTCCTAATTAGTAATTCTCTCAATATACTACTGCATAAAATTATGATGTATTATTACGCAGAATTAGCTTTTATGAAATAATTTATACAACTGACCAAAAAGAAATACAAACATTTAATGCAAACGTGTTTTTATTAGTTGTGAAAAATAACCATTTTTACTGTTTACCAAAATATGATATTAAGACATGCTCCTACCATTCATTCTGCCTTGAATAAAAACTTTGTTCCACTGAACAACAAATGATGTACCTGCAATTGAAGAAGAAACTAGTACAGAAACATTTAAAAGTCACATTAAATATGTTGATTGACATATGTCTGACTTCCTAAACTACTGTTACAAAACATTTTGTAAGTTAAAAATATATATAATTATATATTAAAAAGAAGACAGAGAGGAAGAACAGAACATTATTATATCATAACTTCAATGATGGATGAAAAAAATTGCTTTATATTTACAAATTTAAAAAAGAAAGAGAGAGTTATGTTAAAAAAGTGATACACTAAGTTTAAAAAAAAGTTATTCCTACTTTCTCCCCATAATAAAATTATATTTTCAACAAGACACGGTTTTCTGAATGAACACATTTGTTTTCCTTTCTGTTTTCTTTTGTGAACAAAATTAAATTTGATCACTGTTTTTTCGCACACAGTCTGATAAAAATTTTCAGTATTAAATTAGTCAGATGGAGTAATATACCATACAGAGTCGTAGCTAGGGTTTTCAGCGCCCAGGGACAACTGAAGATTTCGCACCCCCTACTGCTTGCAAAGGATGGAAAACATTTAATTCTAAAATGTCGTAACATAGTTTGGCGCCCCTTGGATTTTGCGCCCAGGGACAGATGCCCCCCTTGCCCCCCTCTAGCTACGCCCCTGATACCATATATGTGCTACAGCAAATTGTCAAAGTATAAAGGTAAACAGGTTTATCAGAACAGTTTACAAAGTTTCTATGAAAATGCTCGTTAAATTTTATTAAATACAAAATATTATGCAACATACTTCTGTCAGCATACTTGATCTCAGATTCTGTTGAAAGACTGGTATCAAAGTTAGCCATCAAAGGTGCTATATACTGAGTAGCAGCAATCCAGTTGTGCAAGTAATCACCAGTATATAAGAAACCTATTTAGAATATAGAGAGAAACATATTTAAAAAGATTTCATATAAAATGTTGAAATAATATGTTTAAAATAAATATTTTCATAAAAGTAACTTTTAATTCACAAGGAGAATACATTATTCACAGATTAACATATTAGCAAATTATTTTTACCTATAAAATATCTTTTGCAACATTAAAAAACAGTAAGCAACAGTTTTGAGAAATTTCCTGTATGATTTTATTTAAGTTAATTCGTGTCTGGGGAAATAGACCCGATTTTTCCATAGAAATTCAATGCTAAAGCAAAGAATGTTAACAATATTATATTTCACACACAAAGGATTTTTAGAACATTTTTTTATAAACAATTTAATAATATTTCCAAATTATCAATTGAAAATATAACTACTAATTTCCAGCAATTCTATTCTAATTTCAGAAATTATAATACATACATAATGTTCAACGATTTTAAATAAATAGTAATCATACAATTTAAAGATTTTTAAAACTTTCTAATTTAAAAAGTTTGTCAATAAAACAGTTTCACAAATTTTTACAACTGCCTACCCGTAGCTGAGGGGTAAAAGCCACCAAACACTAGTAGTTAGGTCTGGGTCTAGGTAAGTCCCAGTAAACAGGCTGGCTGCATGGGCATTTTCCCCATGTGTTATATGGATATGAGCCAGTTTCCCTTAAAAAGTCCTCTACAAGCATCTCTCTTTCTCCGTGTAGTGCCTAACGGTGAAGAGCGCAATAAAAAAAAGTTTTGTAACTGCTTTCCGACAAAAGTTGTTTTTTAAAAAGCAAAACAATATTTTCCTCATTTAATTTATCAAACTAAAAATAAAATAATAAAAGCATAAAAATAATGTATTTTATATTCATAAGAGTACTTGTAGTCAACTTCTTTCTATTATAAAGCAATATTTGGGTTCTGAAAACAAAATGATCATATACATAAGCTATTAGGCTATTGGTGTATGATGAGAGACGTTTTCACAAAGAATCTTTTGACCCAAAAAAAAAAAAAAAAAAAAAAAAAAATTATTTTCCTAGTGGGGCCGATAGAAAATAGAGGGTTGTCTTATATGTCAGACTATTTTACATTTTAAATATGTAAGATAATATCAGTGAATTATTCTGAAGAGATTAAAAAAAAATTGCATCTTTTATTCAAAGTGAGTTTTGGGGGGATGTAGGGGGTCAAAACAAAAGCCTTTATAGCAGCAACATCTTTTTGTATGCATAACACATTCTCAGGGAGAAAGACAGGAAGAAAAATATAATGAATAAATACAATAACTGTACTTCAGAAATTAATAATTTACTTTGACCGACTCTTGCTTACCTCCAGTTGCAATGGTAACATTTCTTAGCAAACTTCCATAGAAAGGAAAATCAAACGATAACTCAACAGTCTGTAAAGGAAAAACGGTATTGATGTAGTATGCGATCTACCATCTTTATTACTTATAATTATTTTTTAGATGGCCCCCTAAAACTAGTTGTTGTTTTAATCACTTCTTTTCTCTGCCATTTTGTTGCAGATTCAAATATGAAAGCTACTGAATTCTTTAGTTATGAAGCTATTCAAATTTGGATGCAGAAGTATGATAGAGATCTATTAATAGAAGTGATGTCTATTTTTTTGGACTGCAAAATTCATTATATATAGCTGAACAACTCGTAGAACTCATGGCCCTTTTGAGCATGACTCTGGGCTTTTGTTCCCTAAAATTGGAGGGAATTTAAATTTAATGAAGTTAAAAATTTGACAGGTTATTCAGTAACTCAACTACATCATTTTCATCTATGTATTCTTAATTTTTTGTATTTATTTTCATATTTAAAAACAGCATTTTAGTAACGCCATCTGGTAAATAATTAAATAACAAAAGGAATAGATTGCATACTACATTATTACCCAAAAAAAAAAAAAAAAAAAAAAAAAAAACATTATTAAAAATCCTAAAATTTGACTGGAAAAAAATATTTTAGATATTTTATGCATATGTACTTTATATAGTTTTATACACTAATGAAAATGTGGTTTTTATATAGTCATTTAGATGATGTATGGATGCATGGTGTAAAATCACTATCAAATATATAAAATTTAAACCAGGAAATGAGCTGCATGTGAACAGCAATTAAAAAAGACTGACAAATTAATTAAAATATAGCACTGTATTGAATTGAGTGTGGGAATGAAATTAAATACACAAAAATTTGCCTTTTTCTAAGACACAAATTTTTCTTTATTATGAGCAAGTCCTCCTTTTAATTTTAATTCAGCATTTTCCAACATAAGTTTTAATACTCAATAATTTTTCAGGATTTTTTCTTCCCCCCTTCTTTCTTTCTTTGGGCACTCTTTTAACCAAGGATACTTAAAAAAATAATCTAGTATAGCAGTTTTCTACCATTTAATTAACGTGTACCATCTAAACAAAAATTGAAAAAAATTTAGTACCACCACTATATTTTACGATGATTATTTTTCAATTTCTCAATAGAAATATTTAATATATATATATATACGAGGGTTGGAACTTTAATAGTGGCAACGCAGCTGAAAAATGCGGCCAGGTCATCCGAGTGTCAGCGATGCAGACGTGCAAGCTGTTGCCGCACTAATGGACAGTGATTGCCGCCAAACGATTCGTCAGCTGGCCGGACAAACAGGATTACGCATACGACTGTGTTGCACATTCTGAAGGAACGCCTGTCCATGATAAAAACTGCTTCACGATGGGTTCCACATCAATTGACGGACATGCAGAAACGGCTACGATACGATGGTGCCCGAACCCACCTGGAGCGCTATGAGCGCGAAGGAGATGCTTTTTTACGCCGTATCATTATGCTGGATGAGACTTGGGCCTGATCGTACCAGCCAGAACTGAAGGGTCACCACAACGTTCGAAATTTCGTCAGAACCCCAGCAATGTGAAAGTTATGGTGATTCTCGTGTACGACTGTGATGGTGTCATCCTAACGCATACCGTTCCCCCACAGCAGACCGTCACTGCGCAGTATTACTGCTCATTTTTGGAGCACAATCTCCGACCAGCTTTGAAAAAAAAAAAAACGGCGACACTTTCTGCAGAACGCTCCTCTCATTTTGCATGACAATGCTCGGCCGCATGCAGCACAAGTTGCGACTGATTGTTCAAGCGATGGGGCTGGGCAGTGCTTTACCATCCACCATACTCCCCAGATCTAAGCCCTTGTGACTGATGACTTAATTCCTAAGATGAAGGAACCACTTCGTGGCACTCGCTTCAAAACTGTTCCTGAGATTCTTGCGGCAGTAGACCGGTCCATTCAAACTATCAACAAAACAGGTGCTGCTACAGGTATTCTGCGACTTCTACATCGTTGGAAACGAGTTGTACACAATGCTGGCGACTATATTGAAGGACTGTAAAATATGGTGACATGAATCACTTTTGTATTCCTTGTAAATAAATAGTTGCCACTATTAAAGTTCCAACCCTCGTATATTGCCATTTGCACAACATATTGGTTATTTGTATTAAATATGAACACATAAAAAGGTAAGAAAAGGGTGAGAAGTCCACCCGCATGACTTTGCTGCCATATGGTTACACATAAAAAGGTATTAGATTAAAATTTTTTTACCACTTTAATTATCAAAATTAATATATAATACTTTAATTCTAAAATTATAGTGTGAAATTTGGGCCTGTTTAAGATAGATCAATTTCTTTATGTCTGGTTTTATTTTAATTTTAACTGTAAATTAGGATCCACTTTTAATTTTGTTCTGTATTTAATTTTCAAATATAACATGTGTAAAGGGGTTGTTTTAGATAGGGTCATAGAAGAGTCCGGTATAGTGTAACAAATATTTATTAACAGGTTTAAGTTACACACGGACATTACATTTAACTTTAAGAAAAATTACAGAGCAACAGTCTGATACAACCTATCAAGTGGGAGCCAGGGCTTTTACTGAAGTACTTCTCTGGCTACTCACCAGCGGGCAGCCTTGTTGTCACAGTTAGTCCAACAGTTTATGTTACGGGATTGGTTACAAACTCCCCCTCTGGCTCCGCCGATGTCCTGGCAAGGAGACATTGTCTCTAGTCTCAGTTTTTTTTTTTTTTTTTTTTTTTTTTGTTTACTGGGCTAGAGACCTCTCTTTGGAGCACTGTCCGGAAACACAAGTTCTTGATTATTTCGGGAACGAGAAGTAACTTTTGGTGGTCTACCTCTCTTCCTGAGCGGAAGAATGGGAGAAGTGGACGAGTCCTTGAAAGGTGTTAGTGCAGACATATGGTACACTCCTAAGGGTTCTGATGGTTTATGAAGGCTTGAAATAATATAGGAAGTAGGTGATTTCTGTGTCATTACCAACCGTCATGCTTTGGTATGAACTTTGAAGTCTTTTTGTTTTTTGCATTGCTAACGGGATGTAAATTGACCCATACCTTATCACCTGGTGAATAAAACACTTTTCGCCTTCCTTTATCATATTGCTTTTTACGTTGATCTTGCTTTATTTCGATATGCTCTCGTATGTCCTTTGTAATAGTTGCTAATCGTTTAAGATAAGGGGTGATTTAAGGAACAAAGTTATCATTTTCAACCACAGCTTTGAAATCGTGAACAACGTTGTCGACAGTCCTCAGTTCTTTTCCAAACATTAGGAATGCTGGTGTATGGCCTGTAGTGTCACAGACGGCCGTATTCATAGCGAAGCGAATAACTGCGAGTTTGGAATGCCAGTTGTCATGCACATCTCTTACTAGGATTGCAAGACGAGGTTTTAAGTCTCTATTTTTCCGTTCGACAGGATTTGACTGAGGAAAGTAAACTGGTATCAAGTATTGATTGATATTTAATGTACAGCAAACCTGTTGCATGACTGCACTGATAAACTGGGTGCCGTTATCGCTGATGATTCTTCATGGTATACCATGCCGCATGAATACTTCTTCGATGAGGGTTATAGTGCAGTCGCGTGCTGTAGCTTGAGCAAGAGGAAATAATTCAATCCATCGCGTAGCACAGTCTTCGACAATGAAGATCCATTGTTTTCCAGTGTCAGTTTTTGTCAGTGGTCCAAACAAATGAATAGATATGATCTTAAAACGTTGAGAATAGACAGGAGTTCTTAGCAGTTCAGCTGGCTTTTGGTTGGTAGCCTTGTAGCGGTTGCACTCAGGAGAGCATTTCACATAGTCGGATATGTATTTTTTCATACCAGTCCAATAATAAGGTCTGGCAATTTGTTGGAATGTTCCTTCCTTTCCATAATGTCCAGCCATTGGGTCATCATGGTGCTTTCGCATGATTGATTCACGCTCGGCAGCTGGAATTACTAACTGGGCCTCTTCTGAATCAGAGTCAGGGACATATCGGTAGAGAGCACCTTGATGCATTAAGAATCCCCGTTCAGTCCAGTTGGCACATTCTTCAGTTCTCTGAGTGGATTCGAAACTTTCTATAATCTTTTTAAAGTTTTCATCTTTAAGTTGAGATTCACGGATGTCTTTTGGACTTCTTGTGGGCGTGTCCACCACAGATATATTTGAAATCTCGCAAGGTGAAACTTCATATTCGGCGCTTGGACAGGACAGCATGTCAGCGATGACATTTGCCTTTCCAGGAATGTATCGTACTTTCAGGTTGAAAGACTAAATTTCAAGCATCCATCTAGCAAGTCTTCCGGTTGGAGACTTAAGGTTCAAAAGCCATTTTAGAGGTTGATGATTGGATGCTTTAGTTACTTCTGATCCTTCTACGTAACCACGAAATATCTTCAGGGCCCAGACTACAGCAAGGGCTTCTCGTTCAGTCGTCGAATAGTTTCGCTCAGCCGGAGAAAGCAGTCGGCTGGCATATTCGATAGGGTGCTTTTTAGACCCTTCCCCTTGAAGTAAAACTGCTCCAAGAGCATAACTGCTTGCATCTGTTCGAAGAATATACGGTTGAGTTCCATTTGCTTGTTTCAACACAGGAAATGTTATAAGGCAGTTTTTTAGAGTTTCAAATGCTTTTTGCTGGTTGAAATCCCATTCCCATTGGACTTTCTTCTTCGTCAAATCACTAAGAGGTCGTGATATTTCCGGGAAGTTTTGTATATATCGTCTAAACCAAGAACATGTTTGAAGAAAGGACTGGAGTTCCTTGATGTTTTTGGGAGGTAGAATTCTCTGGATGGAGGAAACTTTTTCTGGATCAACTTCGATTCCTTTTTGTGTAATCCAAAATCCCAAATATTTCACACGAGAAGAAGCGATGTGGCATTTCTCTCTGTTTGCGTGCAGTTTAAAGAGCAAAAGCCTTTCGAAAACAGCTTTGAGATCACAAAGGTGTTTCTCGAATGATTCTGACAACACGATTATGTCGTCCAGATAGATGAGGGTTAGGATGTTCTCAAGTCCATGGCGAAAACGGTCTATCAATCTCTGGAATGTTGCTGGGGCATTCCGAAGACCAAAGGGCATTTGTAAGAAACAATATGTTCCGAAGAGACACACAAATGCTGTCTTGTCTTGATCATCAGTATGAACCTTCTGTTTTGGCCTCCTCGGTGATTGCGGTGATTTGTGCCCAGAGGACGCACCGCACAAAGAGTTAGTTGCGTTACAGAACGTAAGGGAAGCGGACACGCCAAAATGTCGGCGTATTACCGCTAATTGAGGTAATTGCATCGTATCTGTCAGGTGGCAGAAAACTAGCCACCTGGCATGTGAATTGATGTATCAATTCACATGCCAGGTGGCAGAATATGTCTATCATGTACATGCCAGGAGGCATAACGCTTGCAAATATGCCAGGTGGCATACGACTTGTAAATAAATTGCAAATAAATGTACAGTAAAATATCTTGGTGCAGTAGATCAAGGAACAAGCATCAACAACCTTCTGATCATTTGGATACGTACATTTTTTTTGGTGACCCGGACGTGATTTGTGGAGATGAAGAATGGATGAAGAAAAGTAGTGAGTTCATGACTGAAAAGCCAGGATTTAGCGCGAAGAAATTCGAGGTAGGCCCTTTTTCATTTTTCCAGTTTTGAATAGAATTGTTGAATAAAAATCTTGTTGATTATTATAGTTGATAGAATCTAATGGTAAAATGGAGGCTACGAATAAGGCAAAGAAGTTGCGTACGGTGACGCGTAACTTAACTACTAAGTTGATGAGTAAAATAGATTCTGCATTGTTAGAAGAGGGTGAAACCGCGGATGAGAAATTAAAAGAATTACTCGAAATGTTACTTGAAAAATCGCAGTTGTTGAAACAATACGATTCTCAGATTGAAAAACTTATAATTACGGAACAGGGGTTAGAAACAGAAGTAATTTCCGCGCAGGAATATCAGGAAAAATTATAAGTTTTAAATGTAAAATTCAGGAAAAATTAAGAAAAAACGCATGTAAAGTTGAATCTAGAAATTCTAGTGAGGAAACTATATCTCCGAAGTTGAAAACTTGTGAAGTTAATACTTTAAAATTGCCAAAATTAACGATTACACAAATATTACGGTGATCTTGTTCTTGTTCTTGGCTTGAATTCTGGAATCAGTTTAGTAATTCCATTCACCAAAACAAAAGTCTCAGTTCGGTTGACAAGTTTTGTTATTTAAAATCGCTTTTGGGAGGTTTAGCTTTAAATGCTATTAGTGGATTAACATTTACTAGTGAAAAACTATACGGTGGCTGTTGATATACTAAAAAAACCGTTTTCGGCAGAGATGACCTGCTAATTAATGCGCATATGAATAAATTGTTGAGTTTAGAACCTGTAAAATATTCCGGAAATACGGCTTCTTTGAGGAAGCTTTATGACGATATAGAAATACAAATAAGAAATTTAAATTCCTTTTTTAAATGTTACTAGTGGTTCTTATGGACATTTATTATCCCCTATTTTGTTAAAGTTAATACCCCGAGAATTTAACTCTAGAATTTCACTAGGAAAAGAAGTGATAAACAAAATTTCGATGTTAATGAACTACTAACGTTCTTGAAAACGGAAGTGGAATGTAGGGAAAAATCAATTGATGTTAGCGCGTTCTAAGAATTTTGATGTAAATGAAACATCAGTACGAAACAAAAGTTCCCATCAAGGTTATCAAAATAAATCTTACATGCATTCTAAAAGAAATGATTACAGTACGATAAGCAAGGTGCCTCGGTATTAACTAGTCAAAACGAAACTCCCTCTAAATACTTTCAAAAATCACATTTTAATCCAAATCGAAAGTTCTCTACCCCAGCCTAAGAAAGAGAATCAAATGTCTGCATATTTTGTTTATCTGCTTGTCATATGAATCATGATTGCGCACTTGATTTAAAAGGCTCGCCGAAAGGCATTAATGGATCGAGGTTTATGTTTTATTTGCTTTTCGAAAGGGCATCCAAGGCGTTTCTGTGCTCATGAAGATGAAAAATGCAGACTGTGCAATGTCCAAGGTTTACATAATTCTTAATATGTGACACCGCCCATCGAAAAAGATTTTAGAGACAGGATACTTCCAAATCAGAAAAAAACAAACGCCAATCCCTGAAAGCTTCTCTTTCGCTCTTATGTAATGAAAATAATAACAAAATTAAACTACCGACTTCCGTTCTTTTACAGACGTTTTCGGCAACAGTTAGGTGTAAAAGGGGGGGAACGAAAAGGTATTACGTTGTATGCTAGATTCAGGGTCAACAAAGTCATTCATCTTACGAGAGATGGTTGATTTCACTGGGGTTGAAAATTATTAATAAAGAAGCGCTTATTATTTTCACATTTGGATGCAAAGATGCAAAGAGCGCTTGTATGATATCGTAGAAATCGTATTGCAAAATGTAAGCCATCCCAGTAAAAAGATAAAAATTAACGCAATAGTCATTGATTCTATAACACTAGGGCAAGTAAAAGTTCCTTCTCGGTGGATACAAAAGATGGCATTT